CATATTGACATAAAAACCGACTATAGGAAAACAGATGGTGTTTTGGCTGGCAAAATGGTGGGTTGAAGACTAAAGAAGGAGGAGCATTGACAATTCTTGGAGGTATGATAACTAAATACCTCTTCCCAAAATGTATTTCACCATTGAATCGCCAAAAAATTGAAGCCTTGATTTGTTTCATTGCACAGATATGGCACTTTCTAACAAGTTGGTTGTCTACGATATCGAAAACCAAGTCATTGGATGGACCAACCACAACTGTAAGCATCACAGATCTTATCTTTGTCAAATTATATGAGATTTGATAAGCTTTGGGTGTTTTGACTGTAATGAATCAATCAATCACACAGGCTCAGGAGGAATTCAAGTGAAGGATGAAGAAAGTGGAGCAATCTACACAGTTGGTGCTCACAATCTCTCATGGTCTTCTTCTATATCTGTTACCAAACTTCTTACACTTGTTTCTCTCTTAATTCATCTCTTCTGTAACATTGCTTTATAGTTTCAGAGAAAAAAAAAAACCTCTTGGTAGAGAAAATTTGTTCCTTTTGTTGTTATCAGTAAAGGATCTTGTTCTCATTTGTTGAAAAAAAAATGCCATTTTCATGATCTTGAGAGAGAGAAAGAGTTACACAAATCTGTAGTTGGAATTGGAGCTTTTTTGAAAAGACAAAAACAGGAAATATTTCCCCTGCTCTAACTGGACTCCACTAAAGCTCTTGCTGCAGAGGAACATTGGAATCTAGATACAAACCGTTATAAGAATAACGCCGTTCATGTCAACACACCTTGCCGTTTTTCACATCCGTACATAAAGTGGATGCCGTTTTACCGAAAACAAAAAAAATAAACTCATTTAAGATTAGCCATAGGCCCATAACTATTCTACAAACTGTTCAATAATTTCGAGTTTAACCCATAACTAAGCCCAATTATCAAGTTACGTTTTGGATCAACGGCTATATTTCCACCACAACGGTAATATTTTCCACCGACGTTAAAACTTTTCAATCTATAAAGAACAAGTCGTTGATTCTCCTTCCTCAATCTTCAAACACCTTTCTTTCGGTGTGTAACTCTG